TCCATGAGGACACACGTGACCGTTATTTGCCCCAGTGCGTTGCCATTTTCACTAAACTTTCAGCATCCTTGGCTCCATGACTGATCATTAATTCACCACTGTTAGGTAGGGGCTGCCAGGGAATCAGTGAAGCGCCGACATTTCCCTAGGGGGGGTTTGGGGACTGGGCAGTTCAGTCTGGGAAGGCTGTGATCCCAGCGGCCAGCCCTTGACGCCTGCCTGGGAGGGGGGAGAACTGTAGTCCCACCTGGTCTCAAGACAGCCTGACCCTAGAAGTGACAGCCCGCTTTTCAGAGGTCGACCCAGTTATACACATGAAAAAGACACTTAGGACCCTGAAGTCAGCACGGTAGACACTTTTCGTGAAACACGACTAGAACTGGAAGTCAGCTGCGGCCCTCACAGCCCTTTTCTAGCTTATAAGGACTTGTTTAGAGCTTGCCACAACCACCAGCATGTCAACTCCAAGAAGGGCTTCATCTTTATTCCCAGGGCCTGGAGAGTCACGGGTTTAAAACAGAAGTGACTCCAAGACTGGCCTCTCCAAGGGATGGAGCTGTGGCTACAATCAGAATACTGACTGACTGCTTGAGCCCAGGAGTTCAAAACGAACCTGGGCAACCCAGCGACCTGGACACGTTGCTACACGCCCATCACTTGAGCCCAGGAGTTTGAGACAGAGGTGAGCTGTGATTGTGCCACTGTGCTCCATCCTAGGTGACAGAGTGAGATCCTGACTCAAAACACACACACACACAAAACAACAAAAACCCAAAAACCTCTGAGATAAGAAAACTTCCAGGAAAACACTTTTATTTTCTGCTTTTAGAAGTCAAAAGAATGCCTCATGATGGGCTGCTACCAGTATATGCTGGAAGTTCTGAACAAGAAGAATTCTGAGTTGATGATCCTTGCTAACTTTATTTCAGAAAGTGTGTAGGATCGCTGTGGAGTACAGACACAGGGAAGAGATCACAGATGTCATGAGTGAGGAAGAACCACACGCTTCAGGTATGTGGAGATGGAGACTTCAGGATAATGTGGCCTGTGTAGCCATAATTGAAAATGGCCAGCAGGACCTGGGACCTTTGCACGTGTCTTTCTAAGGGAAATGTGACCCTCTGATGCTGCTTTTGAGTGCAAGGTATTGCTGGGGCCCTCCTGAAATCCTGGCCCTCGCTCTGACCCCCCCATTTGAAGTTTGGAGAGCAGAGCTGAGGACTGTTAGAGCACTACTATAGTTGTGGACACAGGAGGGGGGTGTCTCACCCACCAGGGGTCAGGGATGCGGGGCTGCTTGAACACAGGATTTCTCAGAACTGCCCTTGAACAGGATCCCAGGGGCATAGGGAGAAGCAACGATGGCCTCAGGATGATCGTGCTGCGGCTTTCAGAAACAGTGAGACCCTTCCAGTGTGAATCGTTTTGCTGGAAACCCTTTCTATAAGTCTACAGTCACGAGCCACGTAATATTTTGGTCAACGACGGGCCACCATCATGTGTGATGGTGGTCCCACATGAGTGGGAAGGGTATCCAGGTGTACCCTTTTTTAATCTTTTATGCTGTACCTTTACGGTACCGTTTCTGTGTTTTGATACACAGATACTTCCCATCGTGTCCCGGTTGCCTACGGCATTCAGTACGGTGATGTACCACACAGGTTCGTAGCCTGGGAACAATGCTGTGCCATAGCGTGTGGAAGGCTGCACTGTCGAGATGTGTGCGGCCACTCCGTTGTGTCACACGGTGACAAAATCGCCCAGGGATGTGTTTCACAAGCTCCTCCTCACATGGCAGGCAATATACAACTGTCCATGAAAGCCCTTAATTAGGGATTAAGTTGCTCAATTAATCTCTAAAAGAAAATAGTCATTATTACCTACATACAGGGGTTTGTTTTTGTTTTTATTATTTTGAGTCGGAGTCTCACTCTGTCGCCCAGGCTGGAGGGCAGTGGCACGCTCCTAGCCACTGCAGCCTCGACCTGCTAGACTCCGGCGATCCTTCCGCCTCAGCCTTCCAAGCAGCCAGAACTACAGGTGTGCACTATCACGCCCAGCTAATTTTTAAAATTTATTTATTGTAGAAACAAGGTCTTGCCAAGTTGTCCGGGCTTGTCTCGAACCTGCGAGCTCAGGCAATCCACTCACCTTGGCCTCCCAAAGTGCTGGGATTACAGGCTGGGCCACCAAGCCTGGCCTAGATTTTTTTAAATGATTTAACTCACCTCAAAGTTGCAAGGTGTTTTTTTCCGAAGAAGTGTGAGAAAAAGAACATGATTGGGTTCTGAAAATGTATTTGCAGTTTTTTTCCATATAAAATAATTATTTTAATCCAGTTTAAATAAAACCCATCAGGGAAATGTCAAACCTTAAATCTAGCTTCCCAGTCAGGTTCTGTGCCTCACGTCTGTAATCCGAGCACTTTGGAAGGCGGAGGCAAGAGAATTGCTTGCGCCCAGGGTTGAAGACCAACCTGGGCAACTTGGTGAGAGCTCATCTCTACAATAAATAAAAAAACTTAACTGGGCATGGTGGTACGTGCCTATAGTTACAGCTACTTGGAAGGCTGAAGTGGCAGGATTGCCTGAGCCCATCAGGTCGAGGCTGCACTGGCCGTGAGCATGGTGACAAGGTGAGACTCTGACTCCAGCCTGGGTGACAGGGTGAGACTCTGACTAAAAAAAAAATCTAGGCTTCCTGTGAAATGTGAGAAGAAGGAAGTCAGCTGTACTCCACAGCGACCCTATCACTTTCTGAAATAAAGTTTGCAAGGATCATCAATCAGAATTCTTCTTGTTCAGAACTTCCTGCATATAATGGTAGCAGCCTGTCTTGAAGCATTCTATTGATTTGTAAAAGCAGAAAATAAAAGTGTTTTCCTAGAAGTTTTCTTGTCTTGCATTTCAGGGGGTTTTCGGTTTTTGTGGTTTTTTTGTTTTTGATTTTGTGTTTTTTTTTTTGAGTCAGGATCTTACTCTGTCAGCCAAGATGGAGCACAGTGGCACCATCACAGCTCACCCAGTCTCAAACTCCTGGGCTCAAGTGAGCCTCCCACCTCAGCCTTCCCAAGCAGCTGGAACTACAGGCGTGTACCAACATGTCCAACTCGCTGTGTTGCCCGGGCTTGTTTTGAACTCCTGGGCTTAAGCAATCCTCCCACCTCAGCCTCCCAAAGTGTCGGAACTACAGGTGTGAGTCACCATATCTGGCCACATTTCAGTTTTTAACATAAGGATTTGCTTAATGTTCACTCATAATATGATTAAATAGTATGGCATTGGGTTGGGGGGGTAAAAGGGCGTCCACACCTGGGATAGAGACTCCTGGGCTAGTAGACACTTCATATCAGAAGAGACAAGTGTCTACTCCCTGGAACCAAAATCCCACCAGATACAATGAACAATGCTTCAGAGAGAGAGAGAGCATTTGAACATTTTATTGACATAAACTAGCCTGCAAACCTTACAGACAGCACAACTTCCTTCAAGGCAAATGAGAACCATAAGGCTTTTGGCCTAAGAAGTTTGGAATCATAATCATTGTACTAATAGTGTGGTTACAACAAATATACTTATTTTCAGCTGGGCACAGTGGCTCACAGCTATAATCCCAGCATTTGGAAGGCTGAGGAGAGAGGATTGACTGAGTCCAGGGGTTTGTCTGTAGGACGCCAGGACCTTGTGGACCAGGTCTCGCCACAGTGCGGCCTTCTCGGCCTTCCCAGCCTGCAGCTTCACGATGGCCTTGGCCGTGAAGATCTTGAAGAAGGCTGGATCTGCCAGGATGTTCCCGGTGGTCTCCACGCCGTGGCTGTCACTCAGCAACTTCTCGTTGTTCCTCTTGCAGAAGCACTTCAGGGACTCCAGGGACAGGGAGAAAATGTAGGCCATCCAGGTCCTGTCTGTGTACAAGTACAGCAGCGACTCTTGATGGTGTCTGGCTAGGGACCTGCGCGGATGACCAGTCCAATGGTGCGCCCAGGGAGGCCGCTGGCTCCAAGGGTGGGTCACCCTGGGGCCCCTTGGGGGCATCCTCGGACTGCTCAGGGTATGGGACATTCACCCAGTCATCCTCCTGCAAGTGAGCTTTTTTGTTTTTTGAGTTGGGAGCTCACTCTGTCACCCAGGGTGGAGTCCAGTGGTACGATCACAGCTCACAGCTGCCTCAACCTCCTGGTCTCAAGCAATCCTGCTGCCTCAGCCTCCTGAATAGGTGGGACTACTGGCATGTGCCATTACATCTGGCTACAAGGTCTTGCTATACTGTGCAGGTTGGACACAAACTCCTTGACTCAAGTATCCTACTGCCTTCCCGAAGTGCTGAGATTATAGGTGTGACCCACTGTGCCCAGCTGTCAACAGTTTTTTAAAAAGTTTATCTTAAATTCACTATATGACCCAACAGTTCTCCACCTAAGAATATACCTTAAAACTACTGATGCATACTACATACAAGTAGAGGAAAACAAACTAGTTGCAAAAGATGACATATAATTTTATTTTGTGGAATTATGTGGATTGTATATGAAAATGAAAGTAATACAGAAAGCAAAATAGTAGTTGCTTGATGGGGTAGGGATGGGATTGATTTCAGATAGGCATAAGATTTCTTTTGTGAATGACAGATAAATTCTAAAACTGAATTGTGGGGATCGTTACCCAGTTGTATAAATTTACCAAAAATTATTCAAGTAGCCAGGCACAGTGGCTCAAGCCTGTAATCCCAGCACTTTGGAAGGCCGAGGTGAGAGGATTGCCTGAGTTCAGGGTTTTGAGACCAGCCTGGGCAACTTGGTGAAACCTCATCTCTACAATAAATCAAAAACTAGCCAGGCGTGGTAGCGTGCGCCTGTAGTTCCAGCTACTTGGACGGCTGAGGTGGAAGGATCGCCGGAGCCCAGCAAGTCGAGGTTGTGGTGACCGTGAACGTGCCACTGCACTCCAGCCTGGGCGACAGAGTGAGACTTCAACTCAAAAAAAAAATTATTCAAGTATATGAGGGGAGACCCCTAAAATTCTGGAATCTATTTATTAAAAGTTGTGTATTCTTACATGTTTAAATTTCAGTCACCTTCAAACGACTCTTTGTTTGATGCAGTGCACATATTGAGATTTGAGCACTTTTCCACTGCTGAAAACAATTTTGAACTTGTCGATTTTAATGACTTTTGGTGCTTTTGCCATTTTTTTGTTTCACCTCTTCTACACTGGTAAAACATTTCCCTTTGAGGATGTTTTTCACTGGGGAAATAACAAAAATCACTTCGTATGAGATTGGATGAATAGAGAGGATAGAGGAGAGGTCATGTCATTTTTAGTCAAAAACTGCTGAACCCTCAGCATGGTGTGGGCAGCTGCAGTGTCACAGTGGAGTTACCTGTTTGCCATACAATTTGGGACATTTCTTGCACCTTTCGTAAGGCAACCCTCTCAAAACTTCCAGATTAAAAACTTGGGCTGACTGATTAGAAGGAACAAATTCCAAGTGTACTATAAGGAGCCCGTCCTCCCAAAGATAATTCTGGGGGTTTTTTTGGGGCCCCCTAATATACTTAAAACCAGTGACTTTTATGCATGTGAATTATACCACAATAAAGCTATTTAAAGCATGCTATATGCAGATGAAATTCTATAACAGTGACAATTTAACAATTATTACAACTTTTTTTAAACATGAATTTTTTTTTTTTAATTAGAGTCTTGCTCTGTCACCCAGGCTGGAGTACAGTGGCCACCACAGCCTCAACTTGCTGGGCTTAGGTGATCCTTCTGCTTCAGCCTTCCAAGTAGCTGGAACTACAGGCATGCGCTACCACGCCCAACTAATTTTTTGACTTATCATAGAGACAAGGTCTTGCCAATTTGTCCAGGCTGGTCTGGAACCCGTGGGCTCAGGCAGTCCTCTTGCCTTGGCCTCCAAAAGTGCTGGGATTATAGGTGTGAGTCACTGCACCCAGCAAAGCTTGAAATTTAATGTGACAAACATTCCTTGAAATAAATGGGTCATAAACTGATCTCCAGACTTTTGCATCTTCAAATATTGGAGAAATATTTATTATGCTATCTGTCATAGTATTACATGGCTTTTTGCTACGCTGATGTCATTTGAAGCTTACTTGCTAAATCAGTAACATTCAATTTACTAAGTATTGTTATTGCTTTTTTTTTTTTTTTTTTGAAAGGCACTCTAAAAATACAAAGTGAAAAAAAGCATACAGCCGGGCTCGGTGGCTCAGCCTGTAATCCCGCGCCTTTGGGAGGCTGAGGTGAGTGGATTGCCTGAGCCCGTGGGTTCGAGACCCGCCTGGGCAGCGAGACCTCATCTCTACAATAAATCAAAAAATCAGCCGGGCGTGGTTGCGCATGCCTGTAATTCCGGCTACTCGGAAGGCTGAGGCGGAAGGATCGCCGGAGCCCAGCAGGTCAAGGCTGCGGTGGCCGGGAGTGGCCACTGCACTCCAGTCTGGGCAACAGAGTGAGACTCCAACTCAAAAAAAAAGCATTAAAGGCTGCTGGGAATTTACAGTCCAAAAGAGGGATTAGAGTACTTCCAGATCCTTAAAGTTTAAATAACATTCATTGATTCAGCAATTTCTTTTTTTTTTTTTTTTTT